AGAAACCTTGATTGGTGACCATCCTAGTTAAACATTTAGATTACTTTTTTACTGTAAGTTGCTATATCTTGGCCCCAGAAAAAATACGGGACGGGATTGCCAAGACTCATTAAAAGTAACACCTAGATAGCAACAGCATACATGTTACGAATGCAATAAGTTTATGTTAACGCATATCCAAATAGTACCGGCAATTAGGCTCCTATACTAATAGATAACTTAATAACTCCTGATTAAACACATTTAAGCACCTAACCACTGACTGCAGAAGAAGTGCCCCTAAAAAACAAACTCTCATTTATGCATTAACGCTACTCGGATACATGGTTACTATGTTCTGCGAAAGAACTTTACTTCTAACCTGACAGAAAGATCATTATCTGCTATGGAAAGAAATCATGAAACTGTCCCTGTGAGAGAATACCAAAGAAGGACAACCAAAAAACCATAAGTAATCCTGAAAAGTATTACTTAGTAATTTCCATACCATTCAATTATTATCCTGTCAACTTCCTGCCAACAAAGCCACTGGCAAAGTTATGTGATCGTTCTTTGAAATAAAGTCCGATGGTAATGATTATTCATTCCCAAATTAACGAACTTTCATTCAGAAATCTTTTGGATTATACTATAGTATTTGATTCATTAACCGGTCAGTACTGATGTAACATGTTCGATTGTTGGATTCCATGCACATCAGGTTAAATAAGCAGAATAATTGTGAAAGAGCTAATTGCATTTATTTCTTGAGAACACCTGGTATCTAAAAACCCTAACAATAAAGTGTATTCTTTGGCACTTCAAACCCACTTGGGGGTCACGGGAACCACTCCAAGGAACAAGAACACTGGGAATTGAAATGCAATGATTACATCGCTTTGCCCCAATCTAATTCCTGAAGGAAAATTGCTCTTCGCCTAATGGCCCGTTGTTCACCAGTAGTGCTACCTTTTGACGTCTGCCATTGTGCGGGCAAGTACTGCATGATTTTTATAAGCTGTATCAGAACTAAAACAATGAGCCGACAGTATAAAGCCTCTGACACTGAGTACAACCAACAAAGTCCGGTGAGTCGATTCTGTGGATTTCACCCTCTATGCTTGCACTACATAGACTAGTCTCTGAAGCCATTTTAAAAAAATGTCTGATTACAAGTTGCTTTACAGACTAAGCTCTGCGAGTAGGCAGTTCGGGACGCGCATTCTTTCAAAAGGCTGACACATGGCATTTTTACATACCAATACTATACTAAGATGTAGGATTCCAACAATATACAATAAACGTAATAGAATCTTGTACAACAGGCGAAAAATGTAGTGCACACACCGACAAGAGGGAAAGTCGGTGTTTAAAACGGGCTGGAAAAAGCTCGATAAAGCCAATTTGAAAGAAATCCTTCCATCTGGGAAAGGTCAATCGCCATGTACGGCAGCATGAGTAAAGTTGAGCAACATGGAAACAGCCCAAATGACGAGCCCGACATAGAGTTCATCACAAAAGGTGAAATAGTTTTACGATATGTTTCTATACCAGTAAAAGTTATGAGTAACTGCAAAAATAAAATAGCTGTGTACATGACAATTTAAAACAATTTAATTAAACTAAATAAACAGAAGACTCATTTATTTTTTAGGATGAAAGAATGAGTGGTTCCTTGCAAATTTCTTAGAAAATGCCACTCAGAAAATGAAGAATGACGATGATATTCCGTGGATTTATCGAAAAAGCGGCAGCGCTTATGGAAAGAGAACAACAAACCCCTGAAAACCTCATTGGATTACAGATATCTTACGAAATTCCAGATTTAACGATCCAGGAGGAAGAGATGAACGTAAATCAGTAGAAATATATTTTTATAATCCCTTTCATAGACACAGCAATCTGAAAAAGAAACAGAATTATACAATATTATGTACTTTCTATACGGCAGTGACAAGTCCAGTCAGAATTCAAATCTGATTAAATCCGAAAAAAATCAAGTATAAAAACGGGTCTTTGTTTATATGGGGAAAATGATATGAGAATGCCACGTCATGAACTCGTAGTATGCATTGTACCGGACCGAGGCTTTAAATTCTGAAGCGAGCAGTATGTTCGTCATGCAAACAGAGACACTCAGTGAACAAAATGACAAAATACGCTAAAGACGAATCCTGAACCACTAAGTCTCAGTAACAATGACCCAGGACCTAATATTGTGTAACCCCCCCCCCTGGCTTTTATATGAAAAATCTGTAAATTTAACTTCTACTCCAATATATTGTAATGACGTTTCAGGACATTTACCGTCACCAAAAGGCTCTGCTGGCTAATCAACGGGTCAACCAAAAAACAACCAGAAATCTTGGCAATTACACAAATTCTAATCGGATATAGCATATTTCCACTAAACAAGGAATTATTGAACCTTTTGGTAAATTTAAGCATAAAGCAAACAAGAAGGAAAAGTAACAAATATCCAATAAATCAAGTAAAAAAAAAGGTGTGCAAAAAATAATTGAAAAGCAGCGCTTTTACAAAAACGACTGACAAGGGTGATGGCAACTAAAACTAAAATGAAGGCGCAAGCAAGTTTGGAGTTAAACCCAGTCGCTAGTCAGCCGAGGGGTTGCCGTTAACAGCTGTGCGCTGTGTGTCTGATGCTGAATTCAAACCAAGCCTCCAAAAGGCCTTTAAGCCGGAGCCTATCCAAAGTCTGTGCTGAGAAGTGCTCTTGAGCTGCCCTCAAGCTAATACAGCCTCCCTCAAGTCACCACCGCCCACACGTCCAGCTCCCATCCCCACACTACCGGAGCTGACCTCTCACACTCTCAGTTTTGGCAACCCTACCCACCACAAACCAACGTCCCTCTGCTACCAAAATTATTTGATTTACCCGTCAGTGTTACATAAATCATAGTGTTGAATTGGCACCTGTTGCATCTTATCCTGTTTATTCCCTGTGTGCAAATTAAGGTAAACAGTTTGAAAGCACATGTAAAAAAATCACCTTGCACGTTGCCTGCAATTTTCATTTATTAATTATGCAGGTAAGAAGAGCTACCTGATAAAATAGTCAATACCACAAAAGTATCAAAAAGGGTGAGAAAGGGGTTAAAACTTAAAAGACCGTCAACCGGGGACCACCTAGGTGAAGTTTACTAAAATCAGGGGCCTAAATAATGACTCTCAAGCATGTCACAGTTCTGGACCTCCTGGAAAATGGGACCGAAACAAAGACAAACAGATGAAAATGTGGAAAGAGAAATGAAAAATCATTTGTGTGGGGTAGTTATTCCTAAGTTCGAAACTTAACATCGTAAGGATAAATTTAATCCATTTCAAATTAAACTTCATTACCCCCCTTTTTTCCAAGTGTTGAAGTGTCTAAACTGGCATTTGTTACTGACATTAATCAAACAGCACAGAGCGAAAGAACCCGAGATCCCTGAAATCCTGTACCCTCCATGGGAAATGGCCAAGCACAACATTAATCCTCACCAGAGTCTGATCTTCATTGAGATTCATAAGATCTGTAATACTTAAGAATTCAATACAAAACATGTTAACATCCAAATGCAAACCTCGTTGCCCAGGAAAAACTCCAACTAACTAAACTGAAAACGCCTAAGTTGTCCTAATTCCTAAATTACAGCAGGCCACTTAATACAACCTTTCTTATTACCTCAAGGCACCTTGTTCGCTGAAACCAAGGACAAATGAGAGAGAATCAAAACTAACAATTAAGTGTGTATAGACTGGGAAAATTAAGATTGTCACATCACTTTTGCAAGCCTCTTTTACAATCATCAGTTGTCAGAAACTTCATTGAAAATTGCAA